AAAAAAAAAACCAAAGAGAGTATTATTTTAAAAACTTTTTTTTAATTAAAACTATGATTTTTTTCTAACGAAGATTTTTTGGGATACTCCAAATTCCTTCACTTATACCTCAAACTTTCATAGCTGAGGAAATAGACACCAATCACTAAAGCTAAAGGTAGATATCTTAGACTTTCCTTGGATCCAACAGAAAGACTTCAATTGAATCAACTCAAACCCTAATAAAGATTTATCACCAGTGTCTTCCATCTTTGTTATCCAAAAAAGGACTGATTTAAATCCAGTTTCTTCCAAGTTGCAGTCTTTAATCTCCCGTGACAATCACCTGGGTGTGTGAGGATTGAGGAACATAATTTGGCTTTCATAAGGATGCACCATGAACCATGCTATCAATGATCATGCTTAATGTGCCTTAAACCAAGAATATACTTAAATAGGAAAACCAACACAACTTGCAGCCTCCAGCTGTATGAAAACGCATGGCGGAGTTTTTTCTGCTGCTTCTGCAGATGAAAGTGAAGGCTAATCCTTGTTGTGCGCTGAATGATATCAAACTCAGTTTGCTGCCACACATACTGCACATATTGCTAGGAAATTCTAATGGTAATGAGCCAAGTTCAGGCATTTGTACAGAAACAGTGTTTAGCCATTAGAGCTTTATGAATTCAACAAAAGTAACTGAACCTGGAGAAGGAATAAACTCAAGTGCACCTAGGGTATGTAGTGCTTATATTGTGTTAAAAGTCATTTCATGGCAAATTGAGTAGAAAGATCATACCGTAAAGTTGGGAAATCTCCTCTGTAACTTAACTTGCATTTTGATGAGGTACCCCACATAGATCCATCACAAATATGTACCCTCTCTGGACAAGGCATCATGAACATGCTTGAAATATTAAACCAGCTCTGCAAGTTTATGGAGACAACAATAGCTGTAGTTAGAATTAAAATCACACACAATGTATATGTCTCTTGAAGGCAGTTTAGAGTTCCTCTTTATTCTCTCATCCTATGTGTATGCAGTGGAGTCCTGTTGCACCATAGAGTCTTCTGTGCCAATCCCAGAATCATCATCATTATGCTTGAATTGATTGTTGCTTATCAGCTCTTGGGGCTTGACTAGTTTGGTCCCATGAGGTTTCAAGACATTCCCATGAAAGAGTGATATTCTGGAATAGCCATCATCCCCAACTTTATTAACATTGTTCTCCATGCACCTCTCTGTTACCTCAATTAAAGTCCAAATCCAATCCTACAGCAGTGCATCTAGAGTCACTGTGGAGCCATTCTGTACTGCCAAACACAAAATTAAGTTCAGTGCTTCTTCTGGCCAAAAATAAAAGTTCAATACTTCTTTCAGCTATCTCTAGGCAAAACAACTTTTGGTTGAGAGAAATAAACCATTTCCAAGCTCTATTTTTTGGGCTGTCACTCCTGAGCTATGTTTAATTAGTGACAAATCTTACATATCTTAAATTTGAAAAGAATCATAATGAAAATGGCATGATACAATGCAATGCTAAAGATGCCAACCAGACTGCAGGGCATACTTTTCTTTGAGCAAACTGTATGACCCAAATGTTCTGAGCCACTTAATGCAGCTCAACCAGTAAAGTATTTCAGTTCTTATATTTAGTCTCTCCATCTTCAGCATATCACACACTCACAATGAGAAGGTATATCATAAAATATCATATTAAGCAAAGGGCAAGAAGCCATATATATGTTAATTAAATTGTATACATATCAAATATGCAGTGACGCTGACCACAATTACCAATTTTATTACTTAGTCATTTTATCAAACACCGGATGTTATTCACAACTTAGACACCGGAAATAAATGGTACAATGAAATGATGCTAGGTGGTAACAAACCTTAGAAAAGCAGTGCCATAGAAATCCTCTTGGAGATGAAGGGACAACCTTCCACTCACATACACCAAAAAGAACTTCTACATATATACCAAAAAGAAATCCTCTTGGAGATGAAACTTGAAGGGCATGTTAGTAGATGGTTCTGCGTCATTTTCTTCACCTTCTTCCTCCTCTTCTTCCTCTCCTCCATCGTTTTCGTCATCGGGTTCTTGAAAATCTTGAGGTTTGTTAAGAGGTTCCTCCTCGACTGAGACTGCGCTGGTGTTTCTGTACTTTCCCAACCAGCCCGGCCCGCTGATCTGTTATTGGGCCTTCGGGACAAAACTAATAATTACTACATTAATCATAAAATGGAAAAAAAATAAAAAAACACTTGGATAATTGTAGGAGGATAGCATAGTAGAGTTTTTTTTTTTTTTAGTTCATTTGATTATTGGCTCCCATAATTGTACGTTACATTTACTTGATGCATTCAAAAAAATTATTTCTTTTAATTACTTGTCCCAAGACTTAATCTTATATTTAGCACATAAGATAATATTTACTTATAAATGAATGCAACCTTTAAAGTTAAAAGGAAATTGTAGTTTAGGTAATGCTTAATTTAGTATTTGTTTGTTACTCTTTAATTTGTTTAAATAAGTGTTTTTATCAATTTTTACGCTTTGACATAGTAACATTAATCCTGAATTAATAGATAACCTTTGTAAATTATATTTTCAAACCTGTTGATTGCCTCTTGAGAGCATAGAATCGAGAAGGAATTTAAAGTTTAAAAACTGATATAATTATAAAAGTAGATAGCATTGTAAGTTTATAATCAATTTTACATAATAACATTATACACTTATATCATTCTTTAGTAAAGGAGGTGAAAATGATACTACATTAATTACTCTATAGCTTATATTAAAACTAGTGAAAAAATTATTATTCGATTTTTAATTCTCAAAAGTCAACTACTCCCAAAAAAAAGCTCCACATAAAAAATTTAAAAAAAAACCTAACACACAGTAAATTATTGACCATTCCAATAAAAAAAAATACTTGGAAACTCAAAATTTGGGTTCTAATGGGCAGATTCCTATTTCCGAAATTCCCAACTATCAAAAAATAAAAAAATAAAAAATTGAAAGAGAAGCATACCATAACAGTTTCACTTAGCCGTGAAGGTGAAAATATATTATTATTCAACACGTTTACTTAGGACGACGGTAGTCCGCCTCTCATTCAAGGCGCCCTCCTCTGATCGGAGATCAACAAATCAGATTCAACCCTAATAACCTCAAATCCCCAATTTTCATCTGATAATTTTCCAATCGATCTCATGCGATTACCCTAAACCAAAGCGCCCCAAGAGATGTATAGCAATTTCAAGGAGCAAGCCATAGAGTACGTCAAGCAGGCCGTGCAAGAAGATAATGCCGGTAACTATGCCAAGGCCTTCCCTCTCTATATGAACGCGCTCGAGTACTTCAAAACCCATTTGAAGTACGAGAAAAACCCTAAAATCAGGGAGGCGATCACCCAGAAATTCACCGAGTACCTTCGACGCGCAGAGGAGATCCGGTCTGTTCTTGACGAAGGGGGTCCCGGACCCGCCTCCAATGGGGACGCCGCTGTTGCTACCCGACCCAAGACCAAGCCTAAAGATGAAGGTGGAGACGGGGAGGAGCAGTCCAAGCTTAGGGCTGGCCTCAATTCCGCTATTATTAGGGAGAAACCTAACGTGAAGTGGAACGATGTGGCTGGGTTGGAGAGCGCCAAGCAGGCGTTGCAGGAGGCTGTCATATTGCCCGTCAAGTTCCCCCAATTTTTTACGGGTGAGTTTAAATTATTGGCTTTCTAGGCTTGTTATGGGTTTCCTTTCTGGGTTCTTTGAGCTCGTGGTCTTGTTGCTCTTTTAGATCAGAAATTGGTGTGCTTTAGTTGTGCCTTTTAAATTCAATGAGATGATATTGTCTTTTGTAATTCGTAGTTGCATTATATTAACATGAACTCATTAAGACATTCTGTGCTTTATGCTGAACCTAATTTTGCTTTTTGATCGACTGCACAATAAAAAGGGAGTTACTTGAAGTTGCTAATTTGCTTCGGAAGTCAAATGTTTATATTTTATTGATTCACTTTAACTGACCAATCACCACAAACATGAATCGCTATCTCAGAGTTTGCTTATCAGAAACCTCGCATTAATAGATATAATCCTATTTCTATGGATTTGATGTATATACCTCACAGTTCACATCATCTCTTCTTCTAAGACCCGCTTCACTGCCTTATTAGTTTCTACATGTCATATTTGCTGTGTCTTGGAATGGTTTGTTTGCTTTTTTGTGTTGAATGATTGTGTTTGATGCGGAGAGGATGATGTTTTATCTGCCTTACTTTTGCTGTTTATTCTTAATAGTTCTATTTGTTGCCCCAGCCTTTTCAAGTTTGAACCTCACACTGTTAGGATCCTAACTTTATTCATTTGATAAATGATATATTTGAAGTTTCCTTTCTTATTCTCTTTTAGGCAAGAGGCGACCTTGGAGAGCTTTTCTATTGTATGGGCCACCAGGGACTGGGAAGTCATATTTGGCCAAAGCTGTAGCTACTGAAGCTGACTCTACCTTTTTCAGGTAATGAATTGACTGATGTGTATTAAGCAACGTCTTCTAGTCTATAAGAAAATCAACAGTCATATGGTGCAGATACTGATTTTCTCTCATTTATATTTTGGCAAATTGTAATGCATATGTTAATAATGAGAACAAGAAAAAATAACTTATCATGTATGATGCAGCAGCTTTCAGCTGTTCTCCGTTTTGGAGTGAAATGATGGAGTGATGGCAGTAGTAAGTCTTAATACTCATTTATCTCCCATCCAACTTATGCCATCAACTCTTCAACAAATTGATGGCACTGTTCATGTCTTGTAGTTGTTTTGCATTCTGTAGCAAAAGATCTTTTGCATGTTGTATCTGTTGCTTTGCTGTGATTCTTACATTCCTCCTCCCCAGCTCACTTTTTCTCTTCCTCCTTTTTGAATTTAAGGTTACAGCTCCTTACAATGTAGAAATCTATCATTTTATGATTTCTGTCAGCAAAATGGGAATGTTTTCTTTTAAAAACATCTTCAATGGACTTTAATGTTGAAAAATTTAGACGTTATTGAAGTTATTAAAAATATCTTCTCAGTCATAAAGTAGCCATTATTCTCTGCCATGGTTTTCATAAGTTTGTTCAAGCTGCTGGGTTTTTAATTCTTTAATTTTCTTCTTCCTGTTAGTGTTTCATCATCAGATCTTGTCTCAAAGTGGATGGGTGAAAGTGAAAAGCTGGTTTCAAACCTTTTTCAGATGGCTCGTGAAAGTGCTCCCTCCATCATATTCGTTGATGAAATAGATTCCTTGTGTGGCCAGCGTGGGGAAGGAAATGAAAGTGAAGCTTCAAGACGTATCAAAACAGAACTACTTGTACAGATGCAGGTATTTGCTTGTATGGTGAAAGCATCTCAAATAATTTTTGAGCTTTCTTTGCATAGGCTTTTGCAGGTTCTATTCACTTTGTTCTTATCCTTTTCTTGTTTCCCATCCTTATGATGAGATTGACCCATTTTTCTTGTATTATTTTAAGAGTGAATTTCATTTAGGTTTCTAATATATCATGTTAGACTCTACAAATATCTAATAGTACCTAATATTACCTCTACTCTTCATCTTATGAACCCAAATTTAGGTTTTGTTTTTGAGTTCTTTATGTCTTATTTTTTCTTATATACTTCACACTTTAATTACTATTTTGTCTGACTTGTGAGTTGGGACTTCTATGGTACCGTAGGGGTGTGGCATTGTCCTACCCTTGATATTGCCAAATTTTATGGTAGTATGAGTCCCATTATGAAGTGTGAAAAAAATCTTTTGTTGAACAAGCCTAAGTTGACTTAATTTCTTTCTTGTCCTTTTTTTTATGCTTTAGGGTGTGGGAAACGATGACCAGAAAGTTCTCGTTCTTGCAGCAACGAATACTCCCTATGCTCTGGATCAGGTGAAGGAGAATGTCAAAGAAGTTCATTTCTTTTTTATTCTTGAATTGGCATAATCAGGTAATTTTTGCTAATCCTTGGTATATGCAGGCTATCCGGAGGCGTTTTGACAAGCGCATTTACATTCCTCTCCCAGATTTGAAGGCGCGACAACATATGTTCAAAGTACTTGTCCATATGCTCCTTCAAGTTATTGGAGGAGAAGAAATGCTTGGCTATCTTGTGCTTTGGGTGTTTTGACATATCTTCCTTGTTTTGGATTGATAAATTTTCTTTCAACAGGTACATTTAGGTGATACCCCACATAATTTGACTGAAAGTGATTTTGAAGCCTTAGCTCGCAAGACAGAGGGATTTTCAGGCTCAGATATATCTGTTTGTGTAAGTGAAACATCTATATTAGATGATTGATTGACAGCTATCTTTTTAAACCTATATGAAGAAATGACATAAAGTGGCTCACAGGTTCCTGTTTTACACTACCTTGTATCTGGCAGGTTAAGGATGTTCTCTTTGAACCCGTTCGTAAAACCCAAGATGCCATGTTCTTTTTCAAGACAGCTAATGATATGTGGATGCCATGTGGCCCAAAGCAACCGGGTGCTGTCCAAATCAGCATGCAGGAACTTGCCACAAAAGGACTTGCAGCAAAGGTATCTATTGATGCTTGGGATGCAAAATATTGGGTTCTTGCCAACTTATATATATTTTCCAAGTGTTTTTGTGTGCCTTTCTGCTTGCTCATAAATACTGCATGAAAAATGAAATATTTGAAATTTGCATTACCATCCCTAAAACATGTTATCTTATTGGGAAATCATCACTAAGAACAGTGAGGTGATAAGTTGAATTAAGAATCATATAATTAAAAGTGTAAGATGACTTTAAAGAGAGATAACAGTCTAATGTTACGGAAAACATATTATAATATTGTTATTTCTATTGGTGTTGCTTCCATGCAGATCCTTCCACCTCCTATTAGTAAAGCAGATTTTGATAAGGTGCTTGCTAGACAGAGGCCGACGGTAAGCAAAGCTGACCTTGAGGTCCATGAGAGATTTACAAAGGAGTTTGGAGAGGAAGGGTGATGGATTTTATGAAATTATGTCCCATTGATGGGCACTAGTCGTGAGTGCAGTCGCTGTAATTTGTAATTTATCCATCGCTGCTTGATCCCGCAAATCAGTTCGTTCTATTTAGCATCTTCAAAAAGGGAAACTTCCCTTTTCCTGTATTCCAATGGGACAGAAGCTTGATACTTAATTGAATTGCATGTCTTTCTTGTGTAAAGAAGAGTTTCAGAAAATTATTCTCTTAAGAATATCTTATGAATATGATTTGCCCTTGTTTCAGCCTAATTGATAGGCAAGTTTCCTTTTGCCATTTAATTTTCTGAATTTTGAAACATTCTGATTAACGGGTATTTATTATTGAATATTTCTCTCATATCATCAGACATTCTGCTTCACTGGTCTGTTGCTTCCTGAAAGTCATTCCTGTCTTCATCCTTTTTCTGTTTCTTCTGCAGGAATATATACACACATTGTAGGCTGTTATAACTTAGGTATCAACAAATATTCAATTGTCGGCTTCATGTGATTTTTGTTTTTAAATCTGCTGGCATTGGCTATTAGCTACTTGGCTAGTTCTGCGTGTGTAAACTAGAAAATTAAAGCTAGAAAATTATGGAGAAAAATGTGTGAGAAAGCTAGAAAAATTAAAAAAATCTTAACTATATATAAAATTGTTGTAATAATAATCTTTTTAAATTTGTTTTTAATAAATATCTATTTGATTTGAAAAAAATCATCAATAAATATTCAATGAGTTTTAAAAAAATATTTAATAAATACTCGATGAATTTTTTACAATAATATTGAATAAAGTGTAGTTCAAATCTAAAATATATTAAATATTGTAACTTAATCTTAATATCATTTAATTTCTTATTAATTTATTTAGGTTTTCTTATTATAGAGTTTAGCTTGACTTTTCTCTAATATTTTAAGGTTATAATTTATCAATTTATTTCCTATTATATAAATAGACAAACAAAGGGAAAAAAAAAAAAAAATGGTGCCGATACCATCACAAGTGATTTCTTGTCTCTTTTCTTTATGGTAAAACCACATTCTTGGTCCTCAACTCTCGAGATTTTTCGTACATTTTAGTTCTTAGATTTTATAATTGGCTAAACTTTTTGTTTGTACTTTGTACATTATTTTTTTTATAATTAATATTTTTCATAATTTTTATTCTTAATCAACACTCTATAATTTGAAACTTATAAAAAATCTCAAATTACTAATAAAATTAGGGTATAAATAAGGGGTTTGGTAATTAATTTTTGAATTTTTAAGAGTTTTAAATTATGAAGAATGTTGACAAAAAAATTTTTTTTTGAAGAAATTGACTATATATATATGTATGGTGTAAATAGGAGGTTTAGCCTTTAATATTCTCTAATTTGATCATCATTCTCACCGTTTATTCATCTTTGACTTTATAAAACAGTGTGATTTAATTCCAAATTTATTATTTTTAAAAGTCAAGTCATATCCCATACAAATAATGAAAATAATATAAAATTGAATAAAATTATATTAAATTCATTCAAATATTAATAAAATCAACAATAATTTACATCATGAATTCAACGATTTGATTGACTTTAAGAATTCTACAATTTAGATCTCAATTTCACCAGTTTGTTCATCTTTTTACTCTGTGAAACATTGTGATTTAGTTTTGAATTTATGATTTTTAAAAATTAAGTCATATCCTACACAAATAATGAAAATAATATAAAATCAAATAAAATCATATTAAATCTATTTAAATATTAATACAACCAAAAAAGAGAACCAAAAGAAGGATTATGATGGCAATAATTTAAGACAACTTTTAAAGGAGTAAAAGGGGTACTTCCATCCACAAGACATAAAGGTAAGTGAAAAAAATGGAAATGGGGTAAAAAAAAATAAAATAAAAGAGTCTGAGGAAAGGTAAGTGACAAAGTATCAAAAGGAAAAAATTAATAAGTCACATTTATTATATTTTCACTTAAAACATTTTTAATATAGACAAAATGCAAGAGAGAAAAATTAAGATGAAAAAAAAAATATAATAATATTTAGAGATGTAAGGAATGATAAAAAGAATACTAGAAAGCGAGGATAGAGGATAAGAATAATAAATATAAATTATTAATTTAGAGAGACAAAGAGATGGTGAATGTAGGGTGGAGAAATAATTATAATGATAAATCAATGAGGAGAAGCTGAAAGATGGAATCACAAAAAAAAAAAAAAAAAATTGAAGAATAGAGTAAAGGTAATTGAGAAAATGTTAAGAGAATAATGCTAAGAAGTTGTGCATTTATATTTTGAAATAAAACTTTTCTAATAAAAATGTGAAGAAATAGAATAAAATGGGTACAAAAGAAGTTATACAAAGATAGAGATTCAAGAAATGTCTAAGAAATAATGATAGAGATTTGAGTATAATGAAATGAAGAATAATATGTAGGGTAAAGAAATAAATATATTGATATAAAATGTTAAGGAAAAAAATTGGGAAATGAAGTCTCAACTAAAATTAATAAGAGATGAAATTCGTGACTAAAAAAGAATAATATAGAAGGAAGCTGCGGTCTTTTACATTTTAACATAAAACATTCTAATATAGAGAAGGGTAGAGAGAAAAAATTAAGATAAAAAAAGAGATACATAATTATATATTGAGATTTAAGGAATAGAACAATAGAGAGGGAAGGACAAAAGCAGAAAGAATAAGAAGTAAACTTATAATCTACAGACGTAAGGAAAAGGCAAATGTAGGGTTAAAAAATATAAAATGATAAAATATAGAGCAAGAAGCTGAGAGATGAAGTTACAAAACAAATTAAAAATGAGAATTGAGAAAAAGTGTAGATAATGATATGAACTTTATTTTTTTTTTTTCTATTAAGAATGTTAATTTTATTTTTTTATTTAAAAATTAATTGGATAGTGATGCTGATATGATAAATAACTTTTTTACTTATCCAATTAATTTTTAAATAAAAAATATAAAGTTTATATATTTAAATAGATAAAATTAGAAGTTTACTATTCTATTTAGAAACCAACAAAATTCGCATCATTGAAAAGAAAAAATGACAAAATTTGTATATTTATTTGTACATTTTCTCAAGGGAATTGGCATAAGAATAAGTGAAGAAGAACTAGAGAATAATGTTTAAAAGTTGTGCTACATATGTTTTGGGCAAAAATATTTCTAATATAGGTTAGAGACAATGACAAAGAGAGGGGAGAAACAGGTTAGTGAAGAAATATAAAATGATAGACGGAGATGCAAGCAATAACTAAGAAAGAATAATATAAAAAGAAAGATAAGGCGGATGAAAGAATAATAATAAATAAATTATTAATATAA